TGAGTTCAAAGAATTGGTAGTAGAGGAATAGAGATTAGAAGAATTATAAGGCTAGTGGAATAGGAAGCTGAGCTCAGAGAGTGAGAAACAGGGTTGAATACTTCAGAGAAAGTGTTATTCTGGAATATGAAATGGTATAGAGCAGTCATGGTTCTCTGCTCTAGCTATAATCCTCTACAAAGTTAAAAACTAATCTGTCAGTTCTTACCTTCAGAAATCCTGACATGGACTACTCTGTGTAGACCTTTGAAAGTGGAACTCTCAGCCTTGATTGAGAACAATTGATTTAAAAGACAGACTAGAGAGTAGATTACAGAAGTGGAAGAGAGCTAAAAATTCAATAGTGTTACACCTTCTGTTTCACATAGTGATGAAAGAATAGGGCATAGGAAGGAAGACTGAGAGCCACAGTCTTCAGTGGATTCATATGTATGGCTAGAACAAAGTGACTAACCTCAAGAAGAGAGGATTCTGTAGGCAAATACAGAAGCACTAATGGACAATTGGAGTATAATGAGAGGAAGCCTAGTTCTCGCTTCCCCTAGGTATAAAGGTTTGGGATGCAGAAAAATGAAGAACTTGTGCCAGGATTATTCAAATAGTGTTCATCCTTGCTTAGTAGTAGGATTTAAAGTTGTTCTTAATTCCACAAGTGAAATGGTGGAGGCATTTTAAAAATAAAAATGCCAAGATCTACCCAAAAACTAACACTCCAAATTTCTAGAAATAGGGCTCTGGCAGCTCTCCTTTAAAACTTTTCCCCAAATTAGAGTGATACATAAGGACGTTTGAGAACCTTAGGCCAGTAGTGAAGAGAATATTTAAGGAAGAGGTTGAAGTTATTCTAAATGAGACAAACTCTTGCCACTAGACAAAATTCAGAATTCTGAGATGGGGTGTAAAGGTGAATGTAGATAACTAAAGGAACGTTTCTTCCTTTACAGGATGGTAAAATAGTTAAAAATATCAGTATGAGAGACCCTGAAGAACATATTTGGTTGCAAGAGTTACAACATGAACTCTAAGGCCATGTGTTGACAGTTTGTTGTACAGCCAGTATTTTGCGACGACCTCATTCTAGCTTCTGATAGAATGTGGGAAATATTTTTAGAAAGTGATATTTGTTAGGGCTTATTTTCTGCAAATACCGACCTAGATAGAACTAATCAGAAGCTTAGCCAAGACTCAATTGGGCTGAGATTTAATATAAATGACCAATGCTCATAGAATTTTCTGGGGGTTATAATGACATTTTAGTATTAAAAAATTAAGAAAGAAACCAGTTTTCATGTAGCCTCCATTGAATCACTAAACATTTACTGAAGACTAGAACTCAGATCTGATTTCATTTTAAATGCCCCTAAGTAACAAATATGTTAGCTATTAAAAGTTTAGGTTCTGGAGACATAGTGGGGCCTAGGTTCAAATATTAACTCTGACATGTGCTAACTGTGTAACCATGGGTATATGGTTTTACTTGCCAAAGTCTCACTTTTCTCATATATAAAACAACAATAATATGACCTACTTCAGAAAATGTTGTGGAGATTGAGGGAAAAATGAAGTTTTGTCCGTGGTAGGTGTTCTTTGAAGAACAGTTATTGAGTATGCAGACTCAAGGCATGTAGTGGCAATGCAAGAATGAATATGATACAATTTTTGTTGTTAGGGTCTCACATATGAGTAAGAGAGATAGGTATATAAAAAGAAATAATAATCCAATGGTTGTGTTAAGCTCTCTTATACATAGAGTAGTTCAATGCAAACAAGGAAGGAGGGACATTTAACTTTGCACGGCAAATGCAGGACACATATTACAAGGTAGGGGAAACCTAACAGTGAGTCTTCAAAAATAAGGATTGGGCTGGGGATGTAGCTCCGTGGTAGAGCACTAACCTAGCATGCCTGAAGACATTGGTTTAATTCCCTGAATTGAAAAAAAGAAAGGGATGGAAGGAGAAATAAAGGGAGGAAGGAGAGAAGGAAAGAGACTAAGGGGAATAATTCACACATAGGGCAGGAGGTAAATTACAAGCATAATTTGCAAAGCCTAGGCCTAATATATATGAAAACTTTGCGGTAAGACTGTCCAGGCTGGCTTTGAACTGTGATTATCCTTAGATCTCAGTCTCCTGCATAGCTAGGAGTACAGGCATCAGCCACTGGTATCTGGCTATATAACTTTGTAAATGACACAAGTATGTAGGTTAATAAGAAATAAGATTATTTTTAAAGATTTAAGTAAATTGTCATAGGAACACTAAAACTAATTTGGACTTCCTTTTGTAAGGTCATTTTTTATTGTGGTTGTCTATTGGCAAAGGAATCATAATCTCTTCATTGCTTAAAGCCTTCCAAAGGAGTAGTATAAGACCTTACACTTCTAATCTGGATGATTGGCAGTATCATTGTATTGAAATAGGGGACTACTATGCTTGGCTCTGAGGCTAAGAATCAAGTGGCCTTCTAGGAAAATACTATTAATTCAGTTCTGTGTATAATTCAGCTCAAGTGGAATGTTTGTATCTATGTTAGTATGTTAATGTGCAGTCAATGGTAATGGAGAAGTTGAAATGTTTATTTGTAGGCAATAGAGGCTATGAGTACAACTGATAGAAATATTAGAGATACAGATTAAAATTAGACATTATGAATCTCTGAGTATGTGCAATATATACATGTATATTGCAATTTTATAGATAGAACTGCAGCTACCTTCTGTTTTATCAGAATTGAATTTGGTTCCCTAAAGGTTGCAAGAGCTTGTTAAAAATAATATGAATGAATCTGCTTGGGCAGAGTTTCTCACAAGACTTAAATCCTTCCAAAGTATTAGGAGGAGTTCTAGAAATTTTATCTTTGTATATTACATTGGTTTTATTTGAAAGAAACTTTTCTCTTATGTTAAAGTTCCTAGTCACACAATATCTGGATCCATCCCTGTCAATCACAGATTAGGAAATTACCCAACATGAATCTGGGAGCAAATTCAATCAGAAGAAAGGAGTGATGAGATAGAATTTTAGAAGGGCAAAGATTATACTAGGAGAGTTAGAAGAAAAAGAGCAATGGCAATCAAAGACATAGTTTGTTTTCTGGAGGAGGAAATTCAGACCATGAAAGTGGAAAGAGAGGTGGTTAGCCATATATGAGAGGTTAGAAAATGAGATAAATACAACCAAGATCATAAGAATTACTATTACACCTTGAGTAGAGTGATAAATCTGAAGGCTGATTGTTCTTTTTGCCTTTCTGGACAAGACAAAGTAAAGGTTATATAAATGGTCAAATGGTCACTGCAGTACATTAACAGAAAAACTAGAAGTACCAACAGACATCTCTAAATGTAGTCTATCTAGGATAATATTCACCAGCAAAGATTTAATGTAAAATGTAACCTGTGCCAATGATAAGTTAAGATGACATATGCATATACCTTTAAAAACTGAATTCTAAATGAGTTTGGTGGCCAGGCAAAGGTTTTGAATGATGTAAATCCTTTGGCCCTCAACCTTTCTTTTCTTGTCCCATATACTTTTTCTCATGATTTGAATTTCCGTATTTCTGCCCTTTGTCTCTGCACTCTGACAGGAAATATGGAGTAATGAATGAGATAGTGTGGAAAGACAAAAGCCCTAAGAATGACATTTTAATATGAAAGGTTTTGAATTTAAAATGTATCCTGGATATCTTGCAAAACCAGTCATCTCTGTATGGTTAATTGAATGTTATGTATAAATCAGACCAAAGAGACGTCTAGTTTCAATTGGGGTAAACCAAGTTCATGCTGACTTGCTCACTATTAGAAAGGTGAGTGTTTCTTCATGTTAAATACAATCCGATCAGAGGTACATGCTCAACTGTGCTGATATGTCTTTTATGGAAGCTACCAGTTTTCTTCTGATGATTCCAAACAAGATGGTCTTTGCTTAGATAATCAAAGATGGAAATAAAAGGTAGCCACAACATGGATACTTTTCTCCTGGGAACTATTTATAGATATATTTGTTACATTAGAGTTCTTAAATTAATATATTCAGTGATAATATCTTTAAAGGATTTTAAAGGATTTTTGAATTGTTAACTGACAATATGTTTACTAAAAATTATGTCAATAAATCTGAATGGCTGCTATAAAGCAGTGCAAAGTAAAAAAAATAGCTACAAATGAAAACAATTAACCAAAGAACTGATTCAATATTTTCAAAAGCTAACAAAATTAATTCAGTAAAAAGCACCAACCAAACCTTTCATAGCATTATACTAAGTATGAAATGGCTATAAGTAGTTTTAAACATACAGAAGGGTTTGTAACACCATTGATTTGTGGGAACACCTTCATTGGATAGAAAACTAAGGTGTTTCATAATGCAAACATAGGAATCATAGGTGGCAAACACTTGATAGTTGGCTAATGTTGACATTTATGAACAATACACAACAGTTTATAGATAACTGAAATGCTTTTGTTTTCTATTCTTCCTTTCTAATACTACGGCTTAACCAAAATTGAGTATAATAAATTTCTTATTTAATAAGTGATATCTGAGCTGACAAAGTCTATGCAGCAAAACATACTCAGATACTTACTGGTTATATCATGAGGCTGATAAAGAAGGTAAATGACTTTGAATGACAGTTTTATTTGAATTGGTTTTGGAATTTATTTTTAAGACAGGGTCTCATGATATATAGCCCAGCATGTCTTAGAATTCCTTATGTAGCAATCCCTCTACCTCACAATCCACCTGCCTCATCTTCCCAAGTGCTGGGATTGTGGGTATACAGGAAAATTTCGAGTTATATAAACATGATACTTTTCATTGAATTTTCAGCCACCCTTTCCAATAAAATTGGGATTCCTGGAGTTAAGTATTGGTAAAATTGCCTTGTAATCAATTTTCTTTCAACTTCATAATTGTTTGGATGAACCTACTTATACAACTTATGGCAGCCAAAACTATGCCTCGAATAAATACATGTTAACATTTTGCCTTTAGCCAATAAGAAGAAAGAGAAAGAGCGCCCAGAGATATCTCTTCCTTCAGACTTTGAGCATACGATTCATGTGGGGTTTGATGCAGTCACCGGGGAATTCACTGTAAGTAAGCTTCTTATTTTGTTTTGTGAGCCATGAAAAACCAACCATTTATGATAATAGGTTTCAAGAAAAAATTCCCACTCTCTCTCAGCTTCAAGAAAAAATTCCCATACTCTCAAATGGAAGAATCAATGTTTTTCTCTTTGACAATTTCAAGTCTGGTAGACTTTGATTAGGTGATCATAGATAGAAACAGAAAGTGTTAACAGCATTGGAAAAATTATTTTGTTCATCATAATGAAAATGGATGATCACTAGTCTTCTTCTTGATTGGCAATTTTAGTTACCATGGTACACAACACATAGTCCCAGTATGGATATGCTGCCTGAACTTGTTCTTTAATCAGGTAAAGTAAATCAAGATTCACGTACTCAACTTGACCAGTAAGGACTATTTATCAAAATAATTAATGCTTTACATTGGGACCTGAATTACCCAGATAAGTTAGTCCTGCTCACTAAAAATCTGTGTCAAATTGACCTGTTTTTTTTCTGTTTGGAAGAACACAGATTTTTAGGATTATTAATAATTATATTTTGGCAATATTAAAAACCTCATCCAAGAAGAAATATGGATAAATATATACATATATACATTATGTAATATATATCTTAGTGGTATGTGCTTATTTTATATCTAAGTAATTCATAATAAAAACCAATATGAAGGCTCTAGGTATAACAATGATAAATCAAACCAATTTTTGATATCTTTAGTTCTTAATTAGTACAGGATCCCACATCTACGCCATATTATTCTTTAAAAAATCTACCATCTCTTTTGAACCATGTTAGGGAAAAGATTTTGTTAGAAACATGTCAGCAGAAAGGTGAGCAACCCTTTTTTCTATACTAGTAAGGAACTCAATGAAAATCTACATTCTAAAATAATGAGTAGTTTTGAGTGAATTGAGAAGAGAACTTTGATAGCTTTATTATATGTTCTTGGCTTCTTAAGCCAAAGAAAATTGTTGATATTGAAGAGTTAAATATCTGGTCTCATAATGTGGTGGTTAGTGAATAGACTATGTTATATAATTAAGTGAAAAAAGGAGCAAATCAATTTGATTTGGAGAAATAATGCATGTCTCTAAATTGACAGCTGAATTGTCATGTTTGCTCATTCTGAAATTAAGCAATATGAGAAATGAAAGCACAGTAAATGTCTCAGCCCCATAAAGTGCTGTGGGCTGATAATCTCTGCATTCTCATTAGCAAGCAGAAAAGAACTTTAAAAAAATAACAACAGTGCTTTCAGTGAGATAGCAGTAAGATTGAGATCAGTAGGATTGAAGCAATGTCATTATAGCAGTTAGTGACATTATTCAAATGGCACTGAGTTTTATCTCAACCTTTATAACATTGTAAGAAAATTCTCTTAGGTATATTTAGAAACTACTCAACATCAACACTACCACTACACATCATCTCCACCAGATAATAGTGATTTTTATAACTTGAACAATTGTATATTTTAAAAATCATTTAAAAAAGTGATTAGAACCATTTTTTCCAACATTTTCACATGAGAGGAAGCTCATTAAGATTTATAGATGTTTTATCTAATAACTCTTATTTTTAAAGAACATTGTCTTTCCAGTTTTTAACTTTACTTCCTTTGCTTTTCTTCTGTTTAAATCTCCCTTTTATTGTCACTCCATATTTTAAATTTTTTTCTTCCTTTTGGTTTCTGCATGAAAATTTTTTCCTCTATCTCATCTGACATTCTGATGCTTTCCCAATTTTTTTATTCTTCTCACATGTTCCACCTTACCTGACATCTTATGATATAACCTACCTTTAGATCTTTCTTTGTTCTTTCTGTATTCTGAATAGAAATGAGGTAAAAGTGAGTCACCACCATCTTGCTGACTGGAACATCAGCCATTTGTACTTTGTTCTTAATTAGAACCCAATGTACTGGAGAGAGATAGAATGGGGTATGAAAGGGACAGTCTTTCTGATCGTAAATAATAATTTGACAAAACTGGACCAAACCAACTCCCCTAAAACAATTTGAAATAAAATAGATGTTTTGCACATTGTCTCTTAATAGTAATCCATTGAGCACATAGATAGACAGGCTGAATCTGGAAATCTAAAGTGCATTATTGTCCGCTTGATTTTTTGAAATAAATCCTACCTTCTTCTTACACATTATTCTTAAAGATCCCATTTTTTCCCTTTCACTATTTTAACCCATGGTTTCTATTCACTATGCTGTTATGCTTAACTCTTACAATATCAAAAGATAATAAGCTTTTAATAATCATTTTTGGTAGGAGTTAGAATTGAGCCCTGATTGCTTTGGTACCACTAAATTATTATGCACTGGGGGAACCACATTATTAAATTTGGTTATTGGGGTTTTTGAGGTTGAATTTTGTGTAATTTGTTGAACTGTCTAATCCAGTTGTCTTACAAGGGCCTATTATTTGAACTATTTGGATATTGGCTTTCTATGTGTCTCAGTGATTACCCTATAGCTTAGCAGCCCATATAATGTTGTACAGCTGGGCATACACTTGGACCTTGAAGCTAAAATAGGTTGGGTGGTGAGATTTTGTATTAAATTATTACAAGTCCTTACCCTTTATATTGCCATTTTTGTCCCAAATACTTCAGAACTCCCCTTTCCAGACCTCTAGACCTGTGACGGTCGCTTCAAGTCAATCAGAGGGAAAAATGGTATGAGTGATATAAATTATCATTTCTTATGATAAGATAAATGCTTGGCCTGTTATATCATGCTGCCATTCTCCTGGGCTACACTGGATAACCCCCAGCTTGTTGTACATCTATTTGTTGTTATATACATGGTCAGGCATTGATATGTGCTCCTGCTTCTGATGCTCAGACTCCTAGGTCTCCTTTAGTTGTCTAACTTTTGGGATTGATCCTCAATTTGGAATAATAAGATGTTTTTGTGATTATGTGCCTTTGTGGCAAACACTCAAATTTAAGTGTCAGGTTTCATTGGTAAAGTGGCTTGTCTCAACTCAGAAAAAAATTTATCTCAGTAATGTAGTCATGTGGTAAGTATAGTTGTTTGGAGAAGCTTCTGTAATTGACAGCATTTTTTTCCTGCTGTCTACTGATCACACAACTATTTATCACCAAAGTTTAGAAGTGCCATGGGGATGAATAGTAACTGTAGATATTTTAATAATTATAGTAATGATCATGCCAGTAAAGTCTGCTTTTAGTGGTTATGTGCAATGCATACCCGGATTTGTAACAATTAATAACTCCTTTGGCCACTACAGTATTAACCAAATGCTATTAATTGCACTTAGAATCAGAACTGGGATCGTGCATGGGCTCCTGAGTTCCAGTTTTTGGCTTAAGGCTTTAGCATCAAACTGCGTGATGAATGCATGTCAAAGTGTCATTTTCCAGTGCTTGGAGTAACCCCAATGCCAGGAATCAAGAATATAGCTCCCCAAACAAACCAGCTGGGTGGAAGCATGTTTCTGTAGTGTTTGAGAAACTTTAATTTAGACAAAGCTGTTATCTTAATATTTTATCTTATTTGTGGGTAGGTGGGGATTGGAAATTATAGTATTAAAATTATTCATACATGGCTTAAAGTGAAATGTCTTCCCTTCCTAAATGTATAAGAAACTTAAAACATAGTGTCTGGCTGTGGGAATATCCTTTATCTAGCTTTCTCTAAACCAGCCATGACTTTAGCCACAAAATATAAAAGAATCATGACAATGAGAACAAAAGTTCAATATTTCCATGCATCCTTTGAATTTTAACCACATAGACACTTCCATGTGAAACTAAAATTGGTTAACCAGAATTGGGAATTGAAATTTGTAAGTTTTATCACATGGCCATTGGCTACCTGTGATCATTCAATTATAAAAACAACTTACAAATTATTGCCAAAGCTTTTCACGATGCCATCCTTCTTCCCTGCAAATTCATGTTTCTTCTTTAGTAATCTTTCCAATTTTTAATGGTAATTCTTATTATTGCCTATTTACGGAAGAAGAATCTGGCCCAAAGTGGAATTATACATCCAAACTTTGGAACACTGTTTTCTCTGTTCTCTTAAACCTGTTGTCCTGTAGCCTGCCCTGTCCCTAATTTAGTTAATACCTCCCTGTTTTCATAACCGGCCCACTTTAAAAGGGACCCTCCCCCCATTCAGACCCATTGGTTTCATCTCCTCCCACCTTCTAAGTTGTCCCACATTCTGTTTTAACTTTCTTTTCTTTCTTTATTTACGTCCATTACAGCCAGATCTCTATGGCTCACAGATGTGCCCAGGGAAGCTCCCAGAGGTGCGTCACAGGCCCAAAAGAAGCTTGCATCAAAGTGCTTCTTTGAGATGTCATAGCACTGCAGCAGCAGGTTCATGTGTGTGCAGTAGAGTTGTTGCTTGGCTTATCTCACTTTTTTGTTGTCATTCCCAAACTCTGGAGGCCCACGTCACACATTGTTTTGCCGAGACTTCATAGGACAATGCCATAAATGGTGTCTGGATGCACTTCAGGAACAGTGTGTCTGTTTCTCTCTCCAAATTGTTCTTGGAGGTTGGATAATTATAAAATGGGGACATCTGTAGGCTGAATGTGTAGGAAAGAATGTTGAATGCTCAATGCAAAGCTAACTTCTCTATAATTTTTGCAATTCTCCTTGGTTAGATTTCCAAATACTCCCTCCTCTCGGCTCTAAATGCTTCATATTATTGCAAATTCTCACAAGACTTGGCATGGTTTTCTAGTCCCCAGGTTCTATGTGGCCAATGAATAATATAGGAAGGAAAGGAGGGAGGGAGGAGAAGAGGAGGGCATGCCCTGGAGAAAGCTGCTGGGGAAATGCCCAAAGCAGCATTACTGTAACTATTTAACATCTCAGTGGTTATTGCTCCTCCACAAATCTAGTTTTATCTCCTCCCAATCTAACTTTACATTAAAGTTCTAAACCCAAAATTTTACTTTCATAATCACAAAGTATGAACTGATGAAAGGTGAGGCTTTCCTTTTATTTTAAAAGATTTTCTGATTACAACATACCCAGAAAGACCTTGTTACTCCAGCCATTTAAAAAAGCCATTGATCTGCACTATACTATGGTGTGCACAAATTTAGAGAAGTCTTGCTATGTCTGCCCTGAGTCACCAGAAAAGTATAAGCTAAGCCGTAAACATCATTTCATGGATGAGCAGAGTCGATATGGAGGTGATTTTCATGCGCTTTTTTTTTCTATCACAGTCATACTCCCACCCACCCTTTTTAAGTTGGATCCTAGTTTTACCTATGTGTTTAATTAGAGAAGAGAATGATTGCATTATTAAGTTACTAACGTTAAAATCTAGAATGTAACTTCAGTTTCCCAAGTGTAATCCTACAGGTAGCATGGGCTTCTTGGTGAAGAACTTTACTGGAACATGAATGTACAGAAACTGAATGTTCTGAGCTGCCATTCTTTCCCTTTGGTTGTCAACAGGGAATTCCTGAGCAGTGGGCACGATTACTCCAAACCTCGAACATAACAAAATTGGAACAGAAGAAGAACCCACAAGCTGTTCTAGATGTTCTCAAATTCTATGATTCCAAAGAAACAGTCAACAACCAGAAGTATATGAGCTTTACATCAGGAGGTAAGAGAAATACTGTGGTATCAAAGAAATACTATGTTATTAAATAGTGAAGAACTCATACCAATCTCCGTGTTTTATGGTTAGAACAAAACATCTGTAGAATAGTTAAAGTTAGTTACAGCCCTTTCTGCAAATGGGTTCAGCATTAATAAACCAAAAAATAAACTGGAACTTGAGTTTGCTCTTAGGAAATTTGTATTGATTGGGTGTTTTCTGAACCCAAATGAGGAAACTGTGCACTGAAGTAGTAACAGTCAGCAATCATGATTGTTTTCCTTTTCACTGACATGAAGGATTGCCTAGGATTAGGCCTTCTGATACGACTATGAAGTAAGAGGTATATGTGTTATACTATGTTCTCTGAAAATGTATTTTAGCCCTTGAGTCATTGATTTCTAGTGATGATACTGAAAAGTTTTGTGGTTGTCAAGTTATTTTGATCAAATTCCAAAATCAGATTTGATTTTTTTTAAAGTCTTGCTATTTATAGCAAGATTGAAATATCTACTCTACTGCCAAATTGTGATGCTTTTACTAATGAATAGACCTACTCTTGTTTGGAAATTTGATTTTTAAAGAAATATGATGTGAGTTATCTCTCTAGAACAATTTTACATCTAAAGAAATAAGGGGATGCTAACATACATATCCCAGTCATAAAGATCTCCTACCACTTCCCATTAATTAGTATAAGGCAGGCTTGAAGTTTCTCTGAGTATATTACAGGGATGTATTTGGCCATATCAAATGTAAAAGCTCAAACTAAAAGACATGACATTTCACATGCTAAATGGGAGTTTGTGACATGAGTCTATTAACTGCCCTCCAATGCTAAAATCCTAAAAACTAAAAAATAAAGGAGAAAGTTTTATAATTTTTCCATGTGGAATAAAATATGTAGGAGATCTTGGTGTTACATCAAGTTTTCATGTGAAGAAATCAGAAGCCAAATTAAATACCAAGTTAGAACCATAGTTGACCAGAGCTAAAAATACATTCAAAAACCACTTCACTATGTCTGCTAATACCATTTAGTTTCTCAGTTTGTTCTTTGCTCCATGTAACCACTGCTGCTCAACACATTTTATTTATTTTCTTTTACTATCTTTAAATTGTTGTACAAAGGAATCGTGTTTTAACAAAGCAGTTTATGAATACAATGCATCTTTTTCGGTGTAACCCCTTTCAACATTCTGACTCTCCTTTGATTCAAACATGCTCTTACTTTTCTTAGTTTTGTAGATACAATGAATTCATGACTGCATTCTCCCCTTCTCCTTATCACTTTCATTCATCTAGTACTCTCCCCTCTTGCAAGTACCCATTTCCTGGTGCATATTTTGTTGGGTTTTGACTTGTCTTTCTAAGGAATTACATTTGAGTTCTCCCTAGATTCAATAATATTTCAGTTAATACATTTGTAACCACTTGCGTACCACCCACATGTTTACTTATAGGTTTATAGCTACCACAAAGGAGGGAAAAGACATAACCTTTGTTTCTCTGGGTCTAACTTACTTCCCTTACTATATTTTTTCCTCAGGTCTTTCCATTTCCTTGCAAATGGTACAATATCATTCTTTCTAATTGATGAGTAAAATTCCATTGTATAGACCAGGCTCTGGTGGCCCAGGCCTGTAATTCTAGGTACTCAGGAGGCTGAGAGCTGAGGATCACAGTTCAAAACCAGACCAGGGAGGAAAGTCTGTGAGATTCTTATCTCCAATTAAACACAGAAAAACCAGAAACGGTGCTGTGTCTCAAATGATAGAGTGCAAGCCTGGAGCAAAAAGGAGCTCAGGGACAGTGCCGATGCCCAGTGTTCAAGCCCCAGGACCAGCAAAAAGAAAAAGAATCCATTGTATATATATACCACATTTTCTTTATCCATTCATCCATTGAGGGGCACCTAGGCTGATTTCATACCTTGACTATGGTGACTAGTGATGCAATGAATGTGGTTGTGCTGATGGCTTTACTGTATCCTGGTTTATAATCTTTTAGATAAAATGCACAGGAGAATTGCTGGGTCATAGGGAAATTCCATATTTAGTTTTTTACAGGAACTACCATATTGTTTTGCAGAATGGTTGAAAAAGCTTACTTTCCCTCCAACAGTGTATTAGAGTTCCTCTTTGGCCATATATATGGTAGCATTTGTTATTCTTACTTTTTTGATATTCACCTTTTAAGAGGGATAAAGTAGAATCTTAGTGCTGTTTTGATTTGCACTTCATTTATAGCCAGAGATCTTGAACATTCTTCATGTGTCTGTTGGCCGTTTTTACTTCTCCTGAGAAGTCTCTCTTTAAGTCATTAGCCTATTTATTGAATTATTTTTTGTCGGCTATATTTTTTGAGTTCTAAGTATATTCTGGATATTAGGCCATTGTCTGATGTGTAGATGGTAAAAATTTTTTCCTATTCTGTTGGTTTTCTTTTTTGCTTGTAAGCTATACCTTTGCAGTGCAGATACTTTTAAGTTTGATTCAGTCTCATTTATCAAGTCTTTCTTTGATTTGTTGTGCTTCTGGATCTTTACTTAGAAATTTTTATTTTATTATTTTGTATTTACTTTTTGGAACATGATTTCATTTTCCTTGAACTAATGATCTTACTTCAGCTTCCTGGGCACTAAGGTAACAAGTATGTAAAACCTTGTGTGGCTAGCATTTTCATTTTTATAAGCTGAATTTTCTCAACTTACTAAGATGAACTCCTGAAAATGTCAAAACTGAAGATTATCTGAATCATTGCATTCAACTTAGCTGATTGAAAGTCATCATGTATACTCTTTTTATTTTAAGGTTTCCTTTTGGTTTTAGTCAACTATATTTAAATAGTTGTACAAGACTGTTTTATTTTAACATGTGCATTTATGTGTGCAATGCATCTTGATCAGTTACCCCTTCCATCATTCTTCTTTCTCCCCCTCCCTCTTCCCATACATCTCATCAAGTTTCCTTGTTCCCCTTTCATGCATCATCGTATATTTTCCGAATGCTCAGGTGTTGAAACTTGGTTGATTGGCTAGGAGAGGGAAAAGAAAAGATGAACATCAGAAGGAAAGTTAAAAGGAAGGAATGGAAAGGAGATCAAAGGTACAGAAAGAGTGGTAAGTTGAAACAATCTAGTGTATACATGTATAGAATAACAGCAATGAGGAAGAAGTAATCTTGATATTCTTCCATTTACATGAGGCTCACTCATAGGTTACCTAAAGGTTTTTAACATGACTTGATGAGAATCTAGTGATGTGAGTTATTTTAAGATAAAAATGATATTGTACAGTATTTAATAGCAACTTTCCTTCTGATCAAAGGTATACAATCTTTTAGGCAATCTTCATGACACCAAGGTAACTTTTTTATTCTCATTTCAGATAAAAGTGCACATGGATACATAGCAGCGCATGCTTCAGTAAGTAAAAAACAATTCTCTCTTACCATTGCTATTCCCTAGAATCTAACAGAATATGATTGTACACATGCAGTATCCAAAATTTTTTTCTTTTGGTCGGTCATGGGGCCTGAACTCTGAGACTGGGTGCTGTCCCTCATCTCTTCAGCTCAAGGCTAACACTCTACCACTTGAGCCATAGTGTCACTTCCAGCTTATAGTGACACTATACATAGTGTCACTTCTGCTTATGTGGTGCTGAGGAATTGAACCCAAGGCCTTATGCATGCACTTTACCACTGAGCCACCTTCCCAGCCCTATCCAAAATCTTTTTAAAGAAGACTTTAAAGGCATCGTTTAGATATATAAAATGTATCTAATTTAATGATGTAGTGAATTTTAGTACATTTATACATCTGGATTATCATATCAACTTTTAGAACATGTCCAATAGCCCAGTGAAATCTCTCATGACTACTTCCACTTCTTAATCCCTACCATTGTCATTGTAGTTCCCAAGCATATTCTCATTTGGTCTTTAAAGATCTGTATTTCTGGACATTTCATGTAAATAAAATAATGTAATATTTGACCTTATGGGATTTTTTCCACTCAGTATATTTTTCTTAGGATTCATCCAAGTTTTTGTGTGTATCAGTTGTTTGTTTTATTGCTGAGCAGCATTACGTATTACAATCGTATCACTGTTAGTTTAATCATTTACCTACTAAATGCTCAGATGATTTCCAGTTTGGGGCTACTTAATACTAAAGTGCTATGAAGATCCATGATCACTTATTTTTTGCATATAGAGTCTTGAAAATAATAGTTACAAATGAGATGTACAAGACACTATGTTGAAACGAACTTTACAACTTCAGGGTGTGAGGGAGGATTTGGGGAGATGGGGAGGGAAGGGTAGGGGAAAAATAAAGGAGGAGGTAGCAATGCTCAATAGGAAATGTACTCATTACCTTGCTCATGTAACTGTAACCCCTCTGTACAGTATTTTTACAATAAATGTATATATAAAGAAAATAATAGTAATAGTAATAGCAAATTTTCTTTATTGAATGATTATAATATATACTTACAATGTGCGATATGGATAATGTTATGTTTATATTCACTTAATCATTTTTTTACAATTTAGTTGTCCTCATTTTACAGATAAGGAAAGTGAGGTACAGACAGAAGAAATAACTTGTCTATGGTCACAACACCACATATTTTACTGTCATTTGTTCCAGTGAATACTGGGGAAGATGACTTTCTTCAAAGTCACATAGTTTCACCACAGTATTGAAAAACACGTTATCTATTTCTTGGAAGTACTTCACAAACTGAAAACGTGCCCATATACATTAGACAGAAAATGATCGCAGGCAAGCCTTCCTTTTCTGTGGATTTTCATTTTAATTATCTGATAAAAGTTATTCCCTTACTCATTTGCTTCTTTACGGGTGAAATAATTGGCATCAGTCAAAATCTCCTGTTTGTTTACAGTCATAGATGACTAAGCTGATTTTTTTTGTTTTTATAGATGACAAATACTGTTCTGCTTGATGTCACCTTGGGCAGCCAGTGTAACAGCAGTACATTAATAGTAAAGCATAAAGGCTGTGAACTAATATGGCAGGTTCTCAAAATTAAAAATTGAATTATCATGCAATTCAACTATTTCTGGGTAATATCCAGAAGGTCTTAAAGAGGTTATTCATACACTCATGCTTATAGCAATGTTATTTACAATAGCCAAAAGGTAGAATCAACACAAGTAACCAGAAACAGATGAAGTGATAAAATATAGTACAGGAAAACTATAGAACATAATTGGGCATTAAAGAAAAATGTGAATATGCTACAGTATGGATGATCCTAAAGGACTCAATGCTAGGTAAAATGAGCCAGATATACAAAGCCAAATACTGTATGATTCTATTTCTATGAAGCTCAGATGGAAGTTAAGTTCATAGTGGTAAAGTAGAATGGTGTCTAACAGGGGAACTAGGGCAAAGGGAATTATGTACAAAATTCAATTAAAGAAGGTAAAAAGAATTCTAGAGATCAATAGCCAGTAATGTGAGAGTTCTTAATCTTACTGAAATGTACACCAACATTTCAGTAATGTTAAGAATATTCAGCTGAGCTGGGCGCTGGTGGCTCACGCCTGTAATCCTAGCTACTCAGGAGGCAGAGATCTGAAGATCATGGTTCAAAGCCAGCCTAGGCAGGAAAGACCATGTGACTCTTATCTCCAGTTAACCACCCAAAAAAGGAAGTGGAACTGTGGCTCAAGTGGTAGAGCACTCACCTTGAGCTGAAGAGCTGAGGGACAGTGCCCAGGCCAAGTTCAAGCCCCATGACCGAAATAAAAGAATATTCAGCTGGTAATTTCTATATATTTACCATAGATGATAACAAAATAAATATGGTTTGCACATATACTTTATTGGTAGAATATACACTTAGTATGGACAAAACCCTAGGTTCAACCCCCAATAGCACATAAAAAAGAAAAAAAGAAAACTTTAAAATGAGCATGAAATCTCTGAAGAGAGATTTCCTCTGAGTCTTCTCTTTACTTGTTACATGTCTTTAGAAAAGTAACTTAGTTTTTGGGTCTCTCTTTCCTCATTATTAAATGGGAATAACAATGTCTACCTCCTGAGACTTTTTTGGTCTCTTGTGGGGCTTGAACTCAGGGCCTGGGTGCTATCCCCAAGCCCTTTTGCTCAAGCCTAGTGCTCTAAGACTTTAAGCCACAGTTCCACTTCTTTTGGTGAATGGAAGATAACAGTCTCATAGATTTTCCTGCCTGGGCTGGCTTTGAACCATGATCCTAAGATCTTAGCCTCCTGAGTAGTTAGGAGTACAAGCCTGAGTCACAGGTCTCCAGTCTCTTGGGACTTTATAAATATGAAATGTAATAATGAATATAATTAGTTCAGTATCTAGCTTACAATGTATGTTTATTAATGATAGATTTATTTTCCTATAATTATTTTTAGTTGGTAAGAAGAAGAAAAACTCAGTTTCTTTATACACTAGGCCTTGATACTATGTTTCACAAACATCCCTAAAAGAGAATATCTGACTAGTTACTGTTCCTCCTCCTTCTTTACAATGGAAGCTTTCTGGGCTATACTGAAAATAGTGCAAAAACAGAAGGAAATAAAAGTAAGAATGAATGCCAGCATTCCTTGATCAGCATATGATTTTTTAAAATTTTTTATTAAAGTCTTTAAGAAGTTGCACAAAGGAGTTATCATTTAACATATCAGTTTATGAACACAATGAATCTTGATCAGAGTCACCCATTTCAACATCTTCACCCATCCTTCTCAACTATTCTTTCACTTATTTGTCTTAATTTTCAACACGTATTTTATCTCCTTGAATTTAATTAATATTGAAAATAGGAAAAAAATGCCAGCATTCCCTGATCGACACATATTTTATCACCTTAAGTTTAACTAATGTTATACCTGTACAATCCTGAGTGAGCACTCTGGTAAGTTAGTTATTTTAAACATTATTTTAAAAGAACTTTACAACTTTGGTTGGGGGGGGAGGATTTGGTGGGGGGTGGGGGTAGGCTGGGAAGGGATGTGAAGGGTAAACAAAGGAGGAGGCTACAATGCTTGATAAGAAATGTACTCATTATCTTGCTCATGTAATTGTAACCCCTCTGTACAGTATGTTCACAATAAAAATAAATAAATAAATATTTGTGTAGGTAAAAAGATGAAGATATTGTCTTTGAGTAGAAGTAGATTTCTGTTGGAAGATTTTGAATTTCCTATTGAGAAATTTGAAGAGTTGACAGGAGTTCTAAGTAGAGACACATAACTAAAATGCTTGACTGAAGCAAGGTTCCTATTGATTGAATTAACTGAATTTTACAGATAAGTTGATTTAGGATCAATTCCATGGGAATCAGTCACTTAAGAATGGACAATTGCGGGATTGAGAATGTGGCTTCCTGGCAGAGTGCTTGCCTAGCATGCACGAAGCCTTGGGGGGTGGATTCCTCAGTACCACATAAACAGAAAATGCTGGAAGTGGTGCTGTGGCTCAACTGGTAAAGCTCTAGCCTTGAGCCTAGAGAGGCTCAAGAACAGAGCCCGGGCCCTGAGTTTAAGGCTTATGAACAACAAAAATAAAATTAAAAAAAAGAATGGAGAACTGCATCTTATGGTGTTGTTAAGGTGCTAGGGAGATTGCACTTTATATTATGTAATTATTTTTTGATTTTTAAAAAATATTTTATTGTAAAGATACTGTACAGGGGAATTACAATTACATGAGTAAGGTAATGAGTACATTTCTATGAAGTATCGTTACACCCTCCTTTGTTTTTCCCCTACCATCCCTTCCATCCTTCCCTCCCCAACTCCTCCCCCCAAGTTGTAAAGTTCATTTTCAACATAGTGACTTGTACATCTCATTGTTATAATGGGTCAACTTGTATCCTTGTTTCAGCATTTTGATCTTGCTACCCTTCAGTATCTGATTTAATGGGAGTGACTATTCTGTATAGATACAACCTGAGCTTATCAAAAATTTTGGCCTCGTTTAGTAGCCTGGGTAGGGATTAAAATATAATCAATATTTTAGTCTCTTAATGTTTTAAACTAATGGCTGTACAATTAATAATGAACTGGGTAATGTCTCCTTTTACTTCATCTGAATTATCTCTTACTTATAGAGTCTTTGGTATTTAATGTATTAGATTCCAAATAGTGTCTAGAGTACCACTTTACTTTACAGCCAAGTTTTAAATTTTGTATTTCAATTTCACAATTCAGAATATAATGTCATATGTGAAATCTTGAACTACTATTCTAAAGTGGTAAAAATTCGCATAGGATTATGCCAAGATTCGTGCCTAAAGCAGCCTCATGGGCTATTGACAGATTGCTGCTTTTGATTTGTAGTGCTTGTTTATGTTGTTAATCTACATTGGTGGTTCTTAACCTTTAGTGTGCATCAGTATTGCTTGAGGAGTCTTATTAGAATGCAAGTTCCTAAGTTGAACTTGCAAACTAGATCAAGAATAAAATTGAAATCTTCATTCTAAACAAGACTTTATAGCCAACTCAGGTTAAATACTACCTTCTGTGGTCCAATGAGTGGCATTATAGATGTGTTAAAAATAACTAATTTTGGTAAGACAAAAACATGCCTTACTCACTATCCATCCATCTGTATTTTTACAAGTTTAGAAATATGACACATAATAGTTCTCAGTATGGAAAGAGGAGTATAGCCATTCACTTCCCCAAAGACCACTACAAAACTTACTAAGCAAAGCTAAGTTTATTGAACTTATACCAGTAAGAAACAGTGACATCTAACACGTGTTTTGGACAAGGAAAGTCAATGGTGAATATAAGATTAGAAGGTTCAATTTATTTGACTTTATAACAGATTTTGCAACACATGGAATGGACTAACCTTTGCAATATTATACAAAAATAGTTTTGAATTGGTGAACACAACAAGGTCAACGTTTTTAAGTAAGTTTTAGTAAACAAATTGCTTAGTAAACAAATTAATAAGCAAATTGTTACTTTGCTTGGTTTGTAGAAACCTTTCGGAAACAAGTATTCTGTAAACTAAGTAACTAAGTTGTATTTGCTTGTTCTCAGTATTGTTTAGAAGAGAACATGAAGCAAGATCAATGTGGTCAAAGTACATTATATACCTGTACAAAAATAGGAAAATGAAACCTATTGATGTTGTTTTAAGTGAGGATTAGGAAGGGTGAAATAGGGGTGCATTTGATCCAGGTACATTGTATGCATGTATGGAATTATCACAATTAAGCCCCATGTACAAGCATTTTATGCTAATGAAAATATAAGTAAAAATTATAGTAATATATGTTTTTCCCAACACTATTGATCACAGGATAAAGTATGCCAGTCCCAGTGTATTTTTTCACAGAAGAAATTATGTAAATTTCAGTTTTCAGAACCAAAGTTTGATGTGTTAGATGGATTGCTATGGAGTTGATGCTCCATGACCTAACCACAATGTAAAATATATTGTACTCTGAAATCCTCACATTCTTTCCTGCGATCCAACAACAAGCAGGACTGTGTTTGAGTCAAGGTGAACAGAAATATCTGTCTTTCTCTCCTGTGTCCGGGTTTGAATTCAGAGCCTTGTGCTTTCACTTGGCTTGCCTTTTCAGCTTGTTTTCTCACATCTGGTGCTCTAGTAATTTGAGCTATGCCCCAAGCCCAGCTTTTTAATGGTTAATTTAGAGTGAGTCTTGTGGACTTTTCTGCTCAGCCTGGCTTTGAACAACTGTCCTCCAGTTCTCAGCCTCCTTCATAGCTAGGATTATAGGTGTGAGCCACTGACATCTAGCTTAAATTGGAGTATTTTGGGCAGTACTGAGGTTTCATATTAATTTTAATGATAGATTTTATTTAACCCAATATATTTAAAATATTATCATTCAACACATCAATAAAAGCATCATTAAAAGCCAGAGACCTGTGGTTTATGCCTGTAATCTTAGCTATGAAGGAGACTACGATCAAAAAATTGCAGTTCAAAGTTAGCCTGGAGAGGAAAGTGCATAAGACTCTTTTTTTTTCTTTTCTTTTTTTTTTTTTTATTGTGAACATACCGACTCTTATCTCTACTTAAACACCAAAAAGCTGGAACTGGACCTGTAACTGAAGTTGTAGACACTAACCTTGACCAAAAAAAGCTCAGGGACAGTGCCCAGGCCCTGAGTCCACACCCCTGGACCAATACACACACACACACACACACACACACACACACACAATGACAATTTGGGCAATGGTGGCTCATGCCTGAAATCCTAGCTACTCAGGAGGCTGAGATCGAAGGATGGTGGTTCAAAGCCAGGTTTATAGGCAGGAACTTCTGTGAGAATCATATCTACAATTAACCACCAGAAAACCTGAAGTGGGGCTGTGGCTCAAGTGGTAGAGCACTAGCCTTGAGCTGGGTAGCTCAGGGACAATGCCCAGGGCCAGAGTTCAAGCCCCATGACCGACACACACACACACACACACACACACACACACACACACACACACACATACACACAAAAGCACTGACAAAATATTTTACAATATTCGTATCAAGTATATGATATATATATACATATATATTACACAATACATCTCAACTCAGTCAAATTGGATCTTACATGTTCAATAGCCTTATGCGGCTACTATCTGTCATGTATCAGATCTACATAGTGGTTCATGGTTTTGAAATGTGAGCATGCATCAGGATCACCTGTAAGGCTTGTTATAATACAGATTACTGGGCCCCACTTCCAGAGTTTCTGATTCCTAGGTCTTGGTGGAGCCTGACAATTTGCATTTCTAACAAGTTTCTTGATGATGCTGATGATGCTGATCTGGGAGCCATACTTTGAGAACCATGACCATAGTTCTTTCAAAATCCACCTTTGGAACCATTTGGCCCCTGCATTAACATGAATAATCAAGAATGGAACCTAGGTACTGTGGTTATTATTGTTGCTTGTGGTATTACTGCAGTTTATGAATCATTGCCAGTCACTATTAACGTATTGGTTAATATTGAACAATCATTTAGAGATAGGCATTCTATAGATCTTAATATGCACACTGCATGAGTGCTTCTTTCCAGAAAGCTGAACAGGAAAGAAACATTGATTGGCTTTCTTGTTCTTAGTTATTGAAGAGCTGTAGTAATACTTTATTAATAGTTATACTCTGATCTTTAGGTAAAATGTAACCCTTTTCAAATTGGCAATCTGTCAGTCATACATTTATGATCTACTTAGTGTGTATTTAGAGTTTAATGCCATTTAAGTTGATTTTAATACATGAATTCATTAATTTTCAAAAACATTTAAGTGTATTTTTCCTTTTTGGAAAATTGTATTTATTTTGAAATTATCTTTGTATAGTTGTATAAAAGGTCTTAATTCCACAAGTCAATTTATGGATACAATGCATAATTCATTGTATATATATTATATATACATAAATTTGACTTGTGGAATTAAAATCTATTTTGGAATTAAAACCTTTTATACAATGGTCAAACCGATCAGTTTGAGTTTTAAATAGGATAGCACACTGCTTTGAGCTCACTGAAAAACAAAAACAATAATATAGACTTCATGATCCTTTCAACTATATGAATTTATGTCTGAATGTAAGCACATCTGTGCCACAAAGATGTAAATGGTTTGGCTCATTTATAAAATGTGTGTTTTCCTCCTATCTACCCCTACATGATTAAGTATTCATTTCTATTCTCTTATACTGAAGAAATACCATGAGGAGTTAATACCTGGTCTTTAACCTTTTTTTGTTCTAAGAGTACAAAAACAGCATCAGAGCCTCCTTTGGCTCCTCCTGTATCTGAAGAGGAAGATGAAGAAGAGGAGGAAGAAGAAGATGACAATGAGCCCCCACCAGTTATTGCACCAAGACCAGAGCATACAAAATCGGTAAATTATAGTGAATATGTCCAAATAACTGAAAAGATATCCTTAGGAATGTGGCATCAATATACAGTTAATTTACTAGTACCTATCGCATCGCTTATACTTACATTTCCAGAAGTAGGCTATAAGATACTACCCTTGTTTTTTTTTGTTTTTTGTTTTTTGTTTTTTGTCGATCATGGGGCTTGAACTCTGGGCTTGGGCATTGTCCTTGCACTCATCAACGCAAGGCAAGCGCTCTACAGCTTGAGCCACAGCACCACTTCCGGTTTTCTAGTGCGTTATTGGAGATAAGAGTCTTATGGACTTTCCTGCCCCGGCTGGCTTTGAACCGTGATCCTCAGATCTCAGCCTCCTGAGTAGCTAAGATTATAGCCGTGAGCTACTGGAGCCTGGCACTAACCTTGTTTTGAGGCTGATATTTGAAGGTACAAGATTATCATATTAAATAATTTGATCATGCCAAAAATAACATATAAATATTAAGTTATAAAGCTGAAGAAATTAAAATACAGCAGGAGCCAGGCACCAGTGGCTTATGCCTGTAATCCTAGCTACTCAGGAGCCTGAAATCTGAGCATCAAGGTTCAAAGCCAACCCAGTCTGGACTGGGGACTTAGCTCAAGTAGTAGAGCTGTGCCTTGGTGTGAGGCCCTGAGTTCAAGTCCCAGTTCAGCCAAAAACAAAACAATAAAATCCAAAGCCAACCCAGGCAGGAAAGTCTGTGAGACTCTTATCTTCCAGAAAACTGGAAATAGCGTGTTGTGGCTCAAGTGGTAGAGCATTTGCCTTGAGCTAAAGAGCTCAAGTACAGTGCCCAGGCCCAGAATTCAAGCACCACAACTCACAAAATAAATAAATAAACAAATAAATAAATAAAATACGGAAGGAAATCCATATGAACCAGGGATGAGAGTTGTACAGGAAGAGGCACCAAGATCAGAGTTACATAGGAATCCCAATATGATCCAAGTTCATGACATGTATTGATGGGAATATCACAATGAATCCCTTGTATAATTAATTAAAAAATACTAGCTCACAAGATATTTTAGTGATAATAACTTGTCTTTTAAAAAATAACTGGAATGTCAATTACTTTATGCCATACGTTTTCCTTGTTTTCATTGTAGAACTTTGGGGATGTTTTTTGTCGTTTCCTTTTTGTCTTTTAGATCTATACTCGTTCTGTGGTTGAATCCATTGCTTCACCAGCAGCACCAAATAAAGAAGTTACACCACCATCTGCTGAGAATGCCAATTCCAGTACTTTGTATAGAAATACAGATCGGCAAAGGAAAAAATCCAAGATGACAGATGAGGAGATTCTAGAGAAACTAAGTGAGTGTTTTGTATCATGTTCTCCATGAGAAGAGGGTTTCTCATAAAGCATTTACAAAGAGTACTGAACATTTAGAAGCATGAGTCTGCTTGTATGAACTAGGATTCATGAAGTCATGAGATTGAAAAGGTTGATACTTGCTGTATATACCACACCACTTCCACCCTCATTCTTCTCAATTGGCAGAAGCTAACTATTTTTATTTGGAAAAAAATCAGTTAAAGTTTAAAAAAACTTGAAAAAAACACATTAAGTAGTAAATTTTGTTTGAAAGCCATACACCAGTGGTTACGTCTATAATTATAGCTACTCAGGAGGCTGAGATCTGAAGATTCTGGATCAAACCTGCCTCATCAGCAAAGTCCATGAAACACTAATATCCAATTAACCACCAAAAAAAACAAGTGATGCCTTGGATCAAGTGATAAAGCAAGCACTAGTCTTGACCAGAAAAATCAAAGAGACAGTGAGCACCCTTAATTCAGGCCCCAGTATTAGGACATAAATAAATAAATAAATAAACAACCACCACAGGTCATGTAGATTTTTCTCTCCATTTAGGAACATTTCTGTATGAGCAGAGAGTCAGAGCCAGCTAATGCAAACAACTTCCTTCTAAAATATCACTAGCAACTTGCTTTGTGCACACACTTTTGCCTCAGTTTGACAAAATTCTCAATATTTAGGTAGTTTTCTAAATCACGACGATTAAAAAATAGGTTCTCTGCTAAAAAGAGTCAGAGATCTGAAAATAATATTTATTAAATTCATAACAATGGGTCCCCAATTTGACAAATTCCAAACCATTCTTCAAAACCCGGGGGACGGCGGGGAGAGGAAAAGTGTGGGAGGTGGGGGAGAGAAGGGATAGTGGGACAAGAACAAAGAAGGAAGAGAAGGGGTAACAATGATCGTCAAGTAATGTACTCATTGCCTTACTCATGTAACTGTAACCCCTCTGTACAGCATCTTAATAATAATAATAAAAGAAAGCAGAGAAAAAAAGAAGAAAAAAAGTGTTCAAAAGATTCCTGATTGGAAAAGCCTACCTTGCCTCTCCCAAACTGAAGTGAGAGTCCCTATTCTTTACTATGCTTATCATAGTATAATTCATACTGAATTAGACTACTTCCTTTACCAGACCATAATCTTCTCAAGGGCAAGGACTGAGTTGTTTTTGTCCTCCAATAGTCCAACTCCTATTAAATCCCTGCTTTGTAAATGCACCCCACAACTGACAGATGAATAGGTGAATAAAAATTGAGCAAGCAAACATGTCTTTACTATACAAGAAATTCGATTGACACAATGGAAAGTTAATTTCCTATTCCCATTTTCTTTGTAAAATAGGATTTTAGGGAAAGGGAAAAAACAAATTGTTTAAATAGGGATACCGGTGGACCCATTGCAACAATGAGATATACAAGTCGTTATGTCAAAAAACGAACTTTACAACTTTGGCAGGGGGGTGGGTTATGGGTGGGGGGGGGCGAGATATGGGAAAGGATAGGAAGGGGAAACAATGGAGGAAGCAACAGTGCTTGATAAGAAATGTACTCATTATCTTGCCCATGTAGTTGTAACTCCTCTGTACGGTATTTTCATAATAAAAAATTTAAAAATAGGATTTTATAGCATGATACAATAAAACAATAAATGCTTTAATGTATTCAGCAGTAAGCCATAGGGAGAGTCTAAAGAGGTCATGGTTGGGCCATTTTGCCCTCCAAGGGACATTTGACTGTATCTGGAGGGAGTTGTATTGTCATAATTCAAACAGTGCTACTGGCATTGAATGGATAGAATCTAGTGATACTTCCAAACATCCTACAATGCTCAGGGATACTCCCCTCCTCTCCAAAAATGTATATTTAGCTCAAAATGTCATGATTCTGAGTTGAAATATTTTGAGCTAGAAGTATATGGAAAAGGAAAGACTGGGTCATAGCTGTCAATCAGTCCTCACAACTGCAATTGCTAGATGTTAGTGTACTCACTTTACTGTACATGATTAATTATACTTCTAGCATAATTCTAGTACCAAACCTTTACTGTATAGCAACCACAATAATTTCTATCTACTGAGCAGTTTCTGATCTGGCCCCTTTATATACTTTATCAGTATTAATTTTCTCAGTAATGCCTTGTAATAGATATGAATATCCTCATTTTACAAATCACTGAAGGTAACGTTTCAAAAGCTTCAGTGATGGAGTTACCAGACTAACTAGTGGTAAAGTCAGGGTTTAACTTCTTACACGTGAGGATTCAAAGCTTACGTGCCTCCATTACTCATTTTCTTCTGTGTATCCCAGATATTTATGTATAACGTGGAAAGAAGAATGTCACCAATTTGTCTGAATTATTTGTTCAGTTACTCGAGAATTGCCTCAGTTTCTCCATTTGTTCTGTACATGTAGACATAATCTATGAGATGATATTAGGGTTTGAATTCAAACAGCTCTGCTTTAGTAAAAATGACTGATAACCTGTTACCTATTTCCAGTCTCAATAAATATTGCATAATGACATTGTATTTATACCTTTTTCTGTTAGGTGAAAAGCAAATGTTATATGTATGGGACCAAATCCTGCTTTGCTTGCAAACTATAATAGTGTTGAGCAATCTAAGAGGAGAAGGCTAAATTTGATTATTTTTTAAGTCAAGAATTGTGCTCTACTATGTTGGATTTTATCCTAAGGGCTAGAGAGAATACACTTCCCTCTGGCCAGTGGGCCATCTGTGACTACTGACTAAATTGTAGATCTTGGCAGGGAGAACCTGCAGAGAAATAAGGAAGTAGACACTTCACTGTCATCCTCACGCTTTCTGTGCCTTCTCTCTAGCACTTATACACAGGAGTGACCTTAGACAAGTCAGTTTACTTCACTGAGCCTCAATTTCTTACCTGTGAAATGGGGATATATTAGAATTCTGTATGTAATTGATTTTAACGTACTTTAATATCCAGTTAAGAGGACAAGGATTAGAGTCAAAAATAGCAAAATTCAAATTGCAGATCCTTTCCTGGTAACTGTATAATGTTTCCCATTTATTTAATTTCAGAGATTTTATTTCTTCATCCAAAACCCTGAATTAATAATAGCATGAACTAAACAGCAATATGACAAACAAAAAAATAGTTTTGGTAAAATAAAGCTCAGCAAATGCATGTAGCACCTAATAGGTACTCAAAAAATGGTAGTCATTTTGGTATGAATGTAAAGCCTTAGTAAGGTAACACAATAGGATAAGTTTTGACATGAGTATAACTAAATCTAAGTAAAAGGCACAGGCAAGTAGTGGGTCATTAGGCAAGTCATTTGCAAAATAGAAAATTATCATGCTATTTTTACAAGATGAGTAGTCATATTTTTTATAGTACAAATAGTAAGGACAGAGTCTTACAAAGGGATAGAATTTTTGATACTAAAACTTCATTGATGTAGTCCCTGGAGAAAAGTGACTGAGGACCTTGGAGTTAGGAATGCCATTGGACCTCAAGGTACAAATAGAAGAGCCTGTGCTAAGGAGTGGAAGAAGGCAGACAAGTAGAGGAATGTCCAGCAACTAACAGCTAAGGGAGCCCACTCTCCATGCATGAAGAAAAGGAAATGGCTGCCTCTATTTAATTGTGCTCATATTGATTTTCAGTGATCTGATTGCTAGGAGGTGGGTAGCCCACAGATACAGCAGAACATTAATCTTCCACATAGATATGACCATTGGCACCAGCCCAAGGCATCATGAATAGATGATATGAACAGATCGTTTTTCAGGTTTTTTTTCTTTTTTTTCATTTTTCATTTTTACACACATAAACAACCTGGGTTGGGCTTACTCATTGTGGTCTACCTGGCTTTGCTGGAAAATATGTGTTAGTGAGAAATTGTGAAAGGGGCTATCACCACAATTTTATAATGTAGTAAATTTATCTTCATGCTCCCTCTTCTAGGGCCCCATATTACATAGTCCTCATCCCTCCTCTCTAAACTCTTCTTCCCAATTTACCACCAGACCGAACTGATATTAATTGAATTCTTGTGCTTTTGCTCAAAAATTGAAACCTTCATTATACTGAAGGGATAATCTTTTAATGGTGAGAGTTCAGCTAAGTGTGTCAGAAAATATATTCATGGGCTTTTCTTTTTTTTAAATTTTATTGGCAAGGTGATGTTCAGAGGGGTTACAGTTACATAAGTAAGGTAGTGAGTGCATTTCTTGAACTTGTTGCCCCCTCCCTCATTTTTCTCCCACATTCCCTCCCCTTCAACCCCCATAATCTGTACAGTTCATTTCCAACATATTGTCTTGTGAGTATTGTTGTTGGTTTGCCCTTTGTCCTTTGTCTCACCATTTTGTTGTTCCCCTTCCCTTCCCTAAGTCAAATAAATGTATATATAATACCCAGGGTACCAAAATCAAATACAGTAACAACAGGGGATAAACCATAGGAAAAAGAAAAACACACAAAAGAAAAAAGAAATCGCATACATTAAAATCACATACATTAAAAAGGACAACAACAAACAAAAACCTGACACCAAAACCACAACCACAACTCTATTTTCACATACAAGAATTTCATGATTTTTTTAATGTCTTGGATTTTAAGATGATTAAAATGTTTGTCTTTCCACTTTGATTTGGTTATTTTCCTCCTTTTCTTCATATTATGTTACAAGGTTTACTTTGTTGTAATTTATAGATACAACTTATCATGGCTCTGATGAATGAGATCACTTTAAAAGCTTGTTTTGTGATGAAATTGTAAATAAGGCCTATTCTGTACACTTACCTAACATCAGTAGATGGCAGCACTCTCCTGTGAAGGAGTGGGTGTGGGAACACCATTTTAATTGAAGAGCAGTTAAATTCAGAAACTGAATCTCACCAAAATGGTCGTCTTTTGCAAATCATTGTGAAAGATTTATTTCCAGGATTTTTTTTAATTCTACATACCATGTAAATAATGGGTGAATGATTTACTACCATAAAGCTTCATTAACTGAAGCCCACCAAATGGGATTGGTCATAATTCAGAAAGTGGCTTGGGCTGAAGATTATTTGCTTTTGATCAGTCTGTGGAAAAAGAGTTTGCTCAGCAACTTAATGGTAAAACTAAAACTTTCTTGGAAAACTATAAACTGCTTTATAGTTTCAAGTGGCTTTATAATTGTCATTTTATTTTTAAAATACCATTAATCACTAACTTGAAGAAGAATTATTTTTGGTGATCTAAGAACTGTTAGATAATTTGAAAACTAAAACCTAGCAACTTAGAAAATTGCTAAGTTGGTTACATTCTGTAGATATAGTTTAAATAAAATATGGCCTTCTGTTCATATTAAACCATGGGAGCATTTACAAAGGGAAATGCCTAATTTTGTTTGTTTAACAAACATTTACTGAGTTACTGACTATCCTATACATTTCATGCTGAGCAGTGTGTAAAGAGGCATTGAGGACACAGAGGTGTATAAGACCTGGATCCTGTCTTTATGACACAGTCTAAAATGGGTTGCCAATAGGCAAAGATCTGATCCAGTAAGGACAAAAACTAGAAGAGCTCCAAAGAGAGAAGGAGGAAAAGTATAACATTACAGAGTAGTTGCCAACTTTATTCAAAAGGATCAGGGAAGGCTTCCTAGGAGAGGCAGCATCTAAGTTGAGGTGTGTTTGGTGTGGGGGTGGGGGGTGGGGGAGGTGGGGGGGGGTACTGCGGCTTGAACTCAGAATCTAGGTGCTGCCCCTTAGCTTTGTTAATCTAGACTGGTGCTCAACAACTTGAGCCACAGCTATTCTTCCAGCTTTTTGGTGGTTAATTGGAGATGAGTCTCCTAGACTTTCCTGACCAGACTGGTATTAAGCTGTGATCATCAGATCTCAGAGTTCTAAGTAGGAAGGATTGCAATGAGCCACTGATGGTCAATTCTAAACTGAGTTTTGAAACATGAAAACCTGGGATATACACTAGGAAAGACATTCCTGTATGAGAATGGCATGTAAAGAGGTCTTTAATGCCATGCCACGAGTGTCTCTGTGATTGTGTCCTGTGTCTTGTTGATATTGTTTTTGTTATTTCTTTCCTCTTCAGCATGTTTCCTAGCTGTGTTATGTGTATTTGCGTGCTGCAGGCCTTTGTAACAACTGGAGGCCAGCAGCCTATTAACTGTATAATAAAGACTCTTGCAGGAACTGTAACTTTTCACTGCTGTTAAATAATCAAGAAACTCATAAACTGTTTAACAGAAGCTGATCATGAATTCAAATTAGTTTTTTAGTCAGAACATCAGGTTCTAGTGATGAAAGAAACAAGCAGGAGCGAGATCATGAGGAAACTTGCATTTCATGACAAGAACTTTGATCTCATATTACGGGCCCATTCTGAACTAGAGAGAAACAAACGATCTGGTCATCTGGTCAGTGTATACTTAGAGCATCCTGGGAGAGGTGTAGAGCCATCAAGGACAGCAGTGGAAATAAGAATTTCAGTTAGGTGACTTTTAGAAGAGCTCTGAAAAATGATGATAAAAGACCCACTAAAGCAGCAGAAAAAGGAAGTGACAGATTCAAAAGCATTTTAGGACCTGTAATCCCAGCTATTGAGGAGGCCAAGATCTGAGGATCATGGTTTATAGCCCCCAAAAAGCCAGAAGTGGCCATCCCAAGTAGTAGAGCACCAGTCTTAAGCAAAAAAGCTAAGGGAACTCATTGCCCAGGCCCTGAGTTCAAACCCCAGTTCTATCACACACATGCACAAAAATCAGAATAAATAGAGATCCAGGAGTCAGTAGACAGCTGCCAGTGGGGACTAAAAGTAAGGGACAAGTCAATGATAACCCTTACATTTCTGCCCAGGCTATGTAATGAACAAATTGACAGTACCAATGACTGAGATAGGAAATACAAAAGAAAAACTACAACTCAGAAGTTAGCTAAGTATTATTTAACAAAACTGAACAATGAAGATTCCTCAACAACCTGACTGAAACATATTTTGTTGATTATCTTTGTCAAGGTACACTGTCTATTATTGGGTCTTAATTAAATTGTTGTTTTCCTACCATCCCAGATCAATGTATCATTTAGTAAGGTGTACTAATTGTAGTATACTGTATAGCATTTGAATACAAATTTTCTTGTTCTTGTTCACTTCCTTAACAACTGCTGCTGCTATAAGCACCAAATTAAAGAAACAAATATACTAGTCTAAAAAAGCATGTATGTTTTATTAGAGGGCTCAAAGAAGACTTCACAAAGGTGGATGATTTGAAGTTACATTTAGATGATAATTAGGAAATTGTGAGTTAGAAAAGGGAATGGGAAAAAAGCACTTGCAAAGATGCATTACTCAGATTTCAAGTAGGAGGGATGGATGGAGAAGGGAGAATAATTCCAACTTAGTATAGGTAGGCAGGCACCAGATGGTGCTAGGTGCTCAGGTGGTAGCAAACTTGCTTAGCCAGTGTGGGAACATCAATTCAATCCGTAGTACTGAAAAAAAAGAAAGAACTGAGTCATAATACTTTGTGATTAAACTCTTGTCCGCTAGACTCATTCCTCTCCTCTGTCATTCTGAGCACACAGCTAGGTACTTAGTATTTACTCAGTAGCCCATTGTCCTGAAGAACTGAATGTAGTTTAGTGTTCAACTCTACTCCAATTCATAGCAAATAGTTTTTTTTTTTTAAATCAAATTGTATGTACAAGTTCTTAGATGTCTTAACCTCATTCTCTATAAAAATCGATTTACGAAAACATTTTTATAAATGCTGGGTTGTAATCAGTCCTTTTTTGTTTCTTAAACAGCATCAAATTTTAATATATGCAACAGAATTATTATTACTATTTAATATATTATTGTTTGTGAAACAATAGAGTGTCTCTGTGATTGTGTCCTGTGTCTTGTTGATACTGTTTTTGTTATTTCTTTCCTCTTCAGCATGTTTCCTAGCTGTGTCATGTGTATTTGCGTGTTGCAGGCCTTTGTAACAACTGGAGGCCAGCACCGGTGGCTCATGCCTGTAATCCTAGCTACTCAGGAGGCTAAGATCTGAGGATTATGTTTCAAAGCCAGCCCAGGCAGGAAAATCTGTGAGCCTCTTATCTCCAATAAACTACCAGAAAACCAGAAGTGGCACTGTAGCTCAAGTGGTAGGGCACTAGTCTTGAGCTGAAGAGCTGAGGGACAGCACCTAGGCCCAGAATTCAAGCCTCATGACTGACCAAAAAAAATCATATGAGAGTATTTCTATATTTTTAAATTTATAATTGAATTTGTACCTTAATTTTATTATTATGGAAATCATTCAATCAATTCTGACATATTTTACTCTTCTTCTACCTCTCTGTCTTCCTCTCCCTTGTCCTCTCTCCCCCAACCTATCTCTCAGGAAGCATTGTGAGTGTTGGCGACCCAAAGAAAAAATATACAAGATTTGAAAAAATTGGTCAAGGGTAAGTGATTGTCATTGGAAACATCAAAAATTGAGCATTATCAACATAAGATAAAATTCAGTAACTGCTTTCAATCCTCATAACTATGTTTTTCATATCCTGGATTGTATGTGTGTTTTATATTCTGAGTATTGCCTTTTCCAGCTGGCAGGCAGACTAGTCATGAACCTAGGAACTCTTCCTGTGGTTCTTCCCTATCTTTGAGCTGACAGTGGATTTTGTTTGCTTTCATTGCTTGGGATGGAATCTAGGGCCTTATGTATGCCAGGCAAACACTCTACAGATAAACTACATTCTTATCCCAGAACAATGGATTTCGTAGGGATGTTTTGATTACTATATGGTTAGTAGGTTCAAACTAATTTATCTATAAAGAGTAAAGTTAGGGGAACATCTAAGTTGTGTGAAAACTGCCATTATTTTGTTCCCCCCCCCCCACATCAATCTAGATGTTATACTAACATCCTATTTTTCTCCAACTGGGAAAGATGACCAAAGTTTTTTTATTGAATGTTCTAGTTTTGACAAAGTTAACTGAATATGGAAGAAACACATGACTTCCATAAGTATGATAGGATACCTTATTTTCACCCAATATATTTGTTAAAGATGTATTGGCTCCATGGTCAATAAATTGATTTAGAAATCTGGCCTAGGCACCAACAATCAGAACCATGCAAAAGTTTCTTAGATGATCTTGGTCATTGGCTAAACGTGTGAACCAGGTTGTGAGATAGTTCAGTGTATTTAAAGGTAGGAGTGACCAGTTCTGTAAACCAATTGTTATTAGGTATAGCACTAGGGTCTCAGTATGAAACTAGGTAAATGGGTCTGAGTAGGCAACAGTTTAAGACAGAAAAGTTTTGTTCGAAGATGTGTATCTTTCTAAGTCCATATGCAAACCTCAACTCAGTGTCTTGCCCAAAGATAAATAGGTCAAGACAAGTTGCAATGCACGCACACACACACACACACACACACACACACACACACGGGGTTCTGAAAACAAAACTTGGCTTTTAGATTTTACTGTAATATGATGGAGTCTGTGATAGAGTTATAAACAAGCAAAAGATACACACAGTACTTGGAAAAAACACTCCAGGTCGTAGGTGTTAACATCGTAGCCATTCACTATGGTTAGCACTTGAACACTTGATGCACTGCTGTTCCTTGTTGAGATGTGCTGTAAGTATGAAATACACAGTTAATTTCAAAATCATAGTGTAAGAAATAAACTATCTCATAGATAAATAGTGCGTTAACTACATAACATGATAGCATTTGTCATTTATTGGGTTAAGTAAAGTCTATTAAAATTAATTTCACTCTTTAAAATCATTTAATGTACTTTCAATAGTATGAAGATGTGATGCACATTTTTTCTTTTCATGTTTTTAGAATATTATTTTAATTGATGTGTAATAATTATATATATATATATATATTTATGAGTAGTCATGTGATGTTTTGATATATGTATGTACATTGCTTAATGTTCAAATGAGGGTAAGCATATCTATTTTGTCTAACATGTATAATTTTTTGTGATGATATTCTGGATATTCTATTCTAGGTTTTTAAAAATATATATTATCAGCCAGATGCTAATGGCTCACACCTTTAATCCTAGCTACTCAAGAGGCTAAGATCTGAGGATTACATTTCCAAGCCAGCCTAAGCATCCAAATCTGAGACTCATCTCCACTGACCTACAAAAATGCTGGAAGTGGAGCTGTGGCTCAAGCAGTAATTGAGCCTAGGCCCTAAGTTCAAGCCCAGGTCCTAGGGCTTTTCCCTATTCTTGCCAATTCTTTTCCCTTCTTACCTTTTCTTTTCCCTATTCTTGACTATTATTTCCCCTGTTATTACCTTTCCCCAGCCTCTAGGAAGCATCATTCTATCCTCAACTTTGATGAGATCAAGTTTTTCTCATTTTTACATCTGAATAAGAGCACATAGTACTTGCCTTTCTGCACCTACCTTACTTTAGTTAACATTATGATCTACTTCTATCCTTATTGCAAAAAAAAAAATTTAGCCAGGCGCCGGTGGCTCACGCCTGTAATCCTAGCTACTCAGGAGGCTGAGATTTGAGGATTGCGGTTCAAAGCCAGCCCAGGCAGGAAAGTCCATGGCACTCTTATCTCCAATAAAGCATCAGAAAAACAGAAGTGGTGTTGTGGCTCAAGTGGTAGAGTGCTAGCCTTGAGCTGAAGAGCTGAAGGACAGCACCCAGGCCCAGAGTTCAAGCCCCACAACTGAAAAAACACCACCAACAACAACACAAAATTTAATTCCTTGGTGACTGCATAAGGTTTCATTATGTATGCATATCACGTCTTTATCCATTTCAGTAACTGTTTGGTAGACACTTAAATTGTTTCTTAGCTATTGTGAATAATGCTGTACTAAAACAAGGGAGGGCAGATGTCTCTTCCACATACTGATTCAATTTGGGTACTTGCTCAGCATTCATGTAGCTGGATCATATGGCAGTTCTATTTTGTGGGGTACTCCATACTATTTTCTGTTATGATTATACTAACTTGTGTTCTCAATAACAGTGTACCATCGTTCCCATTTCTCCACATCGTTACCAGTACTTGTTATCTTTAGCGTTTTCAATGGCTGTTCTTATTGAAGTAAAATTGTATCTCTTTGTGGCTTTTATTTGTATATTCTGATTAGAGATAATGAGCATTTTTATGTACCTGTAAATAAATGCAATGATTGTACATATTTAAGTCCATTTTTGTGAAATTTCTATTCACATCTATTGCCTACTTTTATTTATATACCAAACCGAGTTTTTGTTTGGTTGGTTAGTTGGTTGTGGTTTTTGGCATTACTGAGACTTGAATTCAGGTTCTATCACTTGAACCATGCTTCCATTGCCAGGTTTTTAGAGTGAGTTCCTTGCATATTTTGAATATGAAGTCCTTGTCAGATTTATACATTGCATGTATTTTCTGCCACTCTGTAGCTGATATCTGCATTCTGTTGAATGTTTCCTTTGCTGTGTAGAAGCTTTTTAGTTTTATGTAATCTCCTCTGTCCAATTTTTGCTTTTGTTTATGGCTCACATTATGGTTTTAGGGTAATAGCACTTCTTTAGTTGAAGGCTTATACAGGCACTGTTTATTTGCTTATTCATAAAGTGCTTTATGGAGTTGTTTTTGGGGGAAGTGAGAATGAACGATATTGTGATTTTGTTTTGATTCTTCCTTCACACTAAAACCCAAATGAGCCAAAAGTAAAAAGAAGACATGATTTCAAATATCTCCCAGGTAGTGAAGCAAGACTAATTTCCCCAAGAACAAAGATTAGGCCACCAAGAGATTTTTGCATACCAAGGAGATTTGCCCTCCAAAATGTTATTTATATATTTGAGTTCTGAAGGTGAAAAGGAAATACCTTTGTAAACTTTTTCTCACCTAAAATGAAATATCAAGGCAGCAATCTTTCTTGCCACTGCAGAAAGGGCTATTTTAAATTCCAAGTACACCATTTTAAAGAATGATGAGACCAGCTGAGAGTTCAATCATAGACTCAAGAAATGTTTAATAAGTCTTCAGAGAATAAGACATTTATTTTGTTCTTCCTTCTGTCTCCATTAGAATCTAACACAATGTTTCTGTACTGAGTAGCCCCCTCACCAATTTTGTATAGTTATGATCAACAGCCAGCTGTTTTCCACACTCAGGTAGTGCTTTCTCTGTCTGTCACTCCCACCATCAGACACTTTTGACTCAATAAATATTTGCTATATTAATAAAGATATTTGTCTTTCTAGCTCTCCTTTTACTCTGTCTTTGTTCTGTTTATATGTTTACAAATGTCTATTTGCCCTTCTCTGTTTCTGTCTCTTGCTCTCAGTTTTTCAGTGTCTTCATCTCTTTGTCTCTCACAATGAGTTGGGGTTACACATTGTATCTTTTATTCTTTAGGTATGTGTGCTATAGAACACACATTTACAAATGCTAGCTTCGTCTTTCTACAGTATATTTACACCACACACACACACACACACACACACACACACACGCACACACACACACACACTAAACAGTCATAATATAAACCAACCTGACATTAATCAAGATTCATGATATTCATATAATACTTATTTGTTAAATGGCAACTCATTTGTACAGTAACAAGAATAAATAGAAAATTTTAAAAATTCAAATTACATATGAAAATAGTTTTTATAAGATATAAGGTAGTAATTTAAATCTACTTGCTGGAAATTTTATCATTTGTCTGATGTACTCATTTTATTTCTTTTGAGCTTAGCAGATAGTTTGCTGTCTGTTTTTAAGTTTTTCTTTGATCGAGCCAAATATTTTCCTTTATTTCTCTGCAGATTAAAAACCCACAATATTAATGTAAATTATATTCAACATTTTTTCATGAATTATTGGCCTAAGCTAATCAAAGAAGTCTCAGTTCCAATGTATAACACTTTTCTTTGCATTAAGTCTGTTTGTTTTGTTTCCCTTTACCTGTTGTTATGATGCCATTAAACATCCTGCTAGCAATTATTTGGTACTAGCAATAATCAAGTCCCATTCCATTTTCAGGTTCAGGGAGCAAAACAACTCACTCTTAGGAGCTGGATTTGAGAAAAACCTGTTCATTAATCATTCTCATCTACTTGGAAAAGTAAATTTTCCAGAGTGGGTTACTGCCATCCCAGCCTTCAGGCCTGGGGCCAGAGAATTAGGCTTCATCACTCATAAATCAAGATCAGAGAATTTAATGTCTAATCATGTCAGATTATGAGTCTAAGGCTAAAAAGGACATTATTTTACTGTTTTCTGTGAAAAGTGTATCTTATATAATTGATCACCAACTTCTGCACAGATTTGCAAAAATGATAAGAAAAGAGAAAGAGGAGAAAGAAAAATTAAATAGAAAGAAAATGAGAAAGATAAAAAGAGAAGGAAGGCAAGAGAGAAGAAAACAAAGTAAGAAAGGAAGAGAGAGAAGGAAGT